ACTATGACTCTTATTTTAAATTAGTCCTTAAACTTTTGAAAATTCTAATTTCATCCTTAAATATAACCCTCTTTCTAAATTGGTCCCTAAACTTTTGAATATTCTAATTTTATCTCTAAATTTATCCAAATATGTAATTAGTTTCGATCATAGTTTAACCTAAATTTTGTTTTCTCAAATATATAATAATTTAACTTGACCTAACGGTTTTATTAACAAGGGATGTAATTAGTATATACATATAGTTTAGGATGAAATTATAATATTCAAAAAGTTTGGGGATTGGTTTAGAATGAGAGTCATAGTTTGGGGATGAAATTGAAATGTTTAAAATTTGAGGTCTAATTAGAATGATAGTCATAATTTAGGGATGAATTGGAACATTTAAAAGTTTAGGGACCAATTTAAACCAAGAATCATTGTTTGAAGACATATGATACAATTAACTCTTTTTATTAGTTGAGAACTTGAAGTATGGATGGCAAACGGGCGGGTCGGGTGCGGATACCCCTCCCCCATCCCCATCCCCATACCCACCTAATATTTTTGAATCCACCACCTGCCCACCACCCATGATGGGTACAAATTTTCAAATCTACACCCCCACGGGTACATTTTCAAATTCATCCCCATACCCACTAGCGACGTACCCGTCTAGACCCGCCTGACAGCAAACTTAAGTTATACATAAGCAACAAACATAAAAAAACATGTCCAGTAAGAAACATAATAAAATAATCCAATGATTATATGAGTTAAGTGTTAATATAGATCTTAAAGTACATAAACACACCATAATAAAAGACATAATTAAAGTCTAGAAACATAAATGACAAACAAATAATGTTTTTGTTCTTTGGCACAACATTTTAAAATTTCAGGCAATACTTGTGACATCTGATACTAGTATTACAATCATCATTCTCTATTTCCTCCAATTGAGAGCGCTCCAATTTAAATTCACTACTACCTACATGTATAATAGAAAGTAAAACTAATATAAGTTAGTAACTAAACTTTAATAAGATAATTAAGCACAATTTAGCCATTAATTCCTCACACCGAGAGCTCTTAGTATCATTAATAAATCCAAATATTGAAGATATATTGGATTGAACAGTGTATTGTCTTCAAGTTCATTAATCAGTAAACAAAAAGAAGTACCCATAAATCATCTAAACCCAAAATTCCAAAATTTCTGCTTTAAAACCCAAAACCTATTTTCCAGGATTCAACTCTTACCCAGACCAAAAACAGCATCTTTTACAAAAAGGAAAACTAAATGATAACAAGCTTACAAAAACTGCAACTTATTTACAAAAGTAAACAAGAGCTAAGCTTTAGAAACATAACCTGCCAATATCAGTGGAAGCTAGAAACAGAGAAAAGCCAGGAACCCCAACATGATTGGTGTAAGCGTATACCTATTGAGTGCAAGAATATTGATAACCTTTCAGCTAAAGATATCGATCAGCTTAGGGAATGATATTGACAAAGCTATTGTTGTTAAGGTAGTTTCTGTAAGCGAAAAGGAAAATATGAGTTGATTGAGTTGGATGTAGTTGTAAATAATGCATCAATAGTAATATAAAGGAAATAACTAAATCAATTGATAGAACATATCACTCATCAGAATTCACACAACCAAAACAAACAAATCACCATATTGAAGAAACGTATTGAAGAGTGGAGACAGGAAATATCGGCGCAGTAAGATTAAAGACTAAAGAGTGATCATATTAAAGACTAAATATCTCTAATATTTGGTTAAATTACATGTTATATCTTATATAATATTAGAATTTATAAATTAGTCTCTAAAATTATACCTAAATTTATAATGGTCCAAAATTTAATGGATATTTAACTGGGCGGACAGATGTGGGGCGGGCGGATGCGGGGCAGGTAATGTCTCAAACCCATTACCCGCCCACAACCCGCGACGGGTACCACTTCTAAATCCACACCCGCCCACTACCCTAAAATTATACCCATTCCCGCCTCAATTGGAGCGGATGCGGTGCGGAATCCACGAAACTGTACCCGTTTGCCATCCTACTTGAAAGTGTCTCTTAAGTTATGCCAAAGGATAAGATATTAATTAGGGTGTAAACAAGATATTAGCAAACCTAGCATTTTATTTTATATTTTTATCTATTTTCATTTTTTTTGTAATAGTCACGTGGTTAATTGTTTTCCTTATGGTTGTAAATGAGACGAGACAGATCGTGAGTTATTCGAGATCGACTCGATCAAGACTTGATAAATACTCGGATCGAATGGACTCCACTCGAGCTCGAGCTATACTCGAGTTCTTAACGAGCTTAAACGAGCTACTTGATATTCGACTCGAACAGCTCGTGAGCAGCTCGAAAACATAATATATTAAGATATTATTTTTAAAAAAAATATTAATAATATTAACATTTATGTATTGATTTTTTTAAAATGATAATATTTTCATGTATTTAAGGTTCAGGTTTGAGGCTTCAATCGAGTTAAGTTTAAGAATTTTTTTTTCATTTCGAGGCTTTTCGAGCTGCTCACGAGCTTCAGTTCAGGATTTCGAGTTCGAGTCGAGCTTGAAAATATTAAGCTCACGAGTTTTCGAGTCGAGCCGAGCTTCATTTAAGAGTTTTTGAGTCGAGTCGAGCTCAGCACTACTTGAGCTCAACACTACTCGAGCTCGACTCGGCTCGTTTACACCCCTACTCATCACTTAGTGATATTTCTTTATCAGGTAAAGTACACAAATGGTTATCCAATTATAAGATATAATTTTGTTAAGTTTCATAATTATTAAAAGTTATAAAATTGTTTTCCGATTATGTGACGTTGCTTTGTTGACTCACTTCACTATTAAAAGTTACAAAATGATCATATGACTATTCATATGTTCCAAAATTGTAATTTTCTATTAAAAATTGACGGTTGTTTAAGCTGAACGTTAACCTATTAACTGATATATGATAAAATCCGATCCATAACCATTTGATTTATGGGATCGGATTTTATCATATGTTAGTCAACAAGTTAACGCTCAGCTAAGACTGTCGTCATTTTTAACTGAAAAAAAAACGAATTTGAAACATATGAATAGTCAGTGACCGTTTTATAACTTTTAATAGTAATGAGACTCAACAAAGTAATACTCTATAATCAAGAAATCATTTTGTAACTTTTGATAATCGAATGACACAATAAAATAACTCTCTATACTCATAGGACTATTTGGTACTTTATCATTCTTTATTATTATCAGTTAATTAGTGTAGTTAGCTCTTGTGGTCTTTCTTTATTGGTACGGTACACATGAAAACAAAATTAGGATTTTATTTTAATATCACGGGTTACTTTGTCTAGATTCGGATATTATTTATAAATTATATGAGATTTTGTTTTAAACTTTGTCGCCTGATTTTTTTCAAAAAGACATAAAACAAAATTGTAGGATCAGTTTGATTTTAGAAAATATTTTTTGTTTTAATTTTTTACTTTTTTTAGAAATAATTTTTATTTTCTATTTTTTAAAAATTTAAAAACATGTTTAACTAATATAAATAAAAAATTTAATTCAAAAATAAAATAATAAAAATATATTTGGTATCTAATATTTTAAAGTAGAGATGAACAAATAGTTATTAAATAATTATATTTAAATATAATTATTAAAAATTTCATTACATAGATTTAACATGTACATTATTCAAATATAAAATAATAAAGTTGATTAGAAATTTCATAATATAAAATTTATTTTTAGTTTATAATAAGAATATAATGTTAATGCTTATTGAACATCAATTAAATTCAAAAAATACACAAAAATATTGTTGCAAGTAAGAACACACAAAAGTGTCATTAAAATAATAAAAATATGTTTAGTGGTATTTGATGCCCTCAAACTTTTAGAGAAAAAATAGGTTAGCCCCTGAACTTTTTTTGCACTTAATGTGCTCCTTAAACTTAGAAAAATCAATATAATTCTTTGATCAATAGAATTAAACGTTGACTATTACAATATTTACATGACAATCTACAATATTGATGTGATCGTACACGATGTACGATGATGTGATAGACGAAGTTAGTTGATTTTTTTAGCTAAGTTCAAGGACCTAAATGGAATCAAAACGTAACTTTAGGTATGATTTCGAAAAAATAATAGTTAGGTAACATAAATGGAACCAAAGTGATAGTTGAGTGACTAAATGCATAGTTTACCCTTATATTTATTAGAATATTGGGTACAGTGCACTATAGATCAATGAACTATGCTAAAATGATCATTTCAATTAGCAAAATTTTCAAATATTATAAAATGATCTTTAAACTTATCAAACTGTTACAAAATGGTCGTTATATGTTATAAAATAGTAAAAATATTTGATAATTTTAAGGATATTTTTGTAATAGTTTGATAAGTTTAATATAGTTTGATAAAAAAATTATAATCATTTAGGAAGTTTCATGATTATTTATAAAATTTAAAAGTTTATGGACTGAAAGAATTATTTTGATATAATTTAGTGACTTATAATATAATTTAACCAATAATTTTAACATGAGAGACTACAAAACTCAACTTAAATTTACAATTTGAATTTCGGACAAGACATGAATCAAACGATCTTGATAATAGAAAAATTATTATTTTTTTAGGTTCCAAATTCGAGTATAAAAATTGTCATGAATATTCAATCTAAAATAATTAAAAATTATATTTAAACAAATATTATCTTATAAAAAATAAAAGCGGATAAGCTTCACTTCTATCCTAATAAGAAAACAAGGAAACTCCAAATCACATTTGAATCCGTTACCATCTTTAACCGTAGCGCTTCTTTTTGCTCTATCCAAATGGATGATTTTGCTTATTTTATTGAAGGACCAAAACGTCATTTGGCACAATGCCAGCACACTTTCTGAATGGCGTATTGTATTTTAGTTACCAACAAATTTATACAGTGTGTGTAAACCAGTGGTTAGTCATGGGTAGGTGAAAACCTAAACTCCTCCACTGTTTTCACTTCCATTCGAGCTTAAGCCCTATCTAAAATGGCCGCCTCCACCACCACCACCGCCGCTGCTGCTTCCTTCAAATCCTCACTTCCTTCTTCGGCCAAATCGGCGCTCTTAAAACCACGCTTCGCGTCGTCTACGTGGCGTTCTCTGATTCCCGCTTCACTGAGCTCTCATCTCGTTTCTAGAAAGAATGGCGTCATCGCTGCCAAGACGACAGCTGCTCCTTCTACCGTTTCTCCGCCGGCGTCGCTTGACTTTAATACATCTGTTTTCCAGAAAGAAAAGATCTCTCTTGCCGGTCACGATGAGGTTAGCTGAGAACCAATCGAATCATTTCATTTCTTCTTTCGTGTTTTCTTTTTATTTTCTGATTAAGTTCACATTTCTCCCTTTTTGATTGATTTGCTTAATTGACAGTTCATAGTGAGAGGAGGGCGACATCTGTTCCCTTTGTTGGATGATGCTTTTAAAGGAATCAAACAGATTGGAGTCATCGGTTGGGGTTCTCAGGTTATAATTTTACCACATTTCCTTTTCTTTTATCTTTTAAAAAAGCAAAAAAAAAAAACTTTTTCCCACCATTTAATTTTGATAACTTTTTTTACATGATTGTTAAAAGGGTTTGTTTTAAAAATCAAACAAATTTCTTGTTTTGTCCTGTTGATTTTTCCCTTCAATATTGGGTTTGATATACCTCATTTCCGTTAATTCGGTTAAAAAATATGGTTTTTAGGGGCCAGCTCAAGCACAGAATCTGAGGGATTCTCTTGCAGAGGCAAAATCTGATATTGTTGTGAAGGTAAGCTCAAACACAGTGTATCCCTTTTGCATTCAGTGATTGACATCGATTTGACTGGGTGTACTGTACTGTGATGGTTTGGTAACAGATTGGATTAAGGAAGGGCTCTCGCTCTTTTGCTGAAGCTCGTGCTGCTGGATTCTCTGAAGAGAATGGAACACTGGGGGATATCTATGAAACTATTTCTGGAAGTGATCTCGTGTTATTGCTGATCTCTGATTCAGCACAGGTGCTAGGTTTCTCACATGTTTTCCATTTCTGCATCGTAGAAGTTTGGCCATTGGTTATAGTTATCATTGATTCACATGATATTTGTTTTTCTAAGACAGACATGATTGTGATTGATTGTGATGACCTGTGAATGCCAACACCTGCATGCACTATGATTCCCATGTTTTCCATTTCTGCATTGTAGAAGTTTGGCCATTGGTTATAGTTATCATTGATTCACATGAAAAATTGTTTTGCCAATACAGATATACGATTCACATGAAAATTCTTTTCAAAGCTATTAGATTGATTGTGATGACTTGCAAATGCGAACACCTACATGCACTATTATATTCTCAGCACTTTCTGGTTTGTTCTCTGGAGGCATTACTTAATAAATTTTGTGTTGTAGGCTGATAACTATGAAAAGGTCTTCTCCCACATGAAGCCTAATAGCATCCTTGGACTTTCCCATGGATTTCTTCTGGGTCATTTACAATCAATGGGGCTTGATTTTCCTGAGAACATCAGTGTGATTGCTGTCTGCCCTAAGGGCATGGGGCCTTCTGTGAGGAGACTCTATGTCCAGGGAAAAGAGATAAATGGTGCTGGAATCAATGCTAGTTTTGCCGTCCACCAGGTTCTTTATCTCTCTATTTCTGCATTCCACTTATTAGTTTGAATGAATGTCAAAACTAATCCTTCTCGAAAAAGGTATACTAAATGATAATGTCTATTTTGGAGCAGGATGTTGACGGTAGAGCTATGGATGTGGCCTTGGGATGGTCAGTTGCCCTTGGTTCTCCTTTTACATTTGCCACCACATTAGAGCAGGAGTACAAGAGTGACATTTTTGGGGAAAGGGGTGAGCTGAATTGTTTATGTTTTTCCAGCCATGCATGTTTTATTTCTTTTGAACTCAGTCACATCATTGTTGCTGCTTTCTGTAGGCATCTTGCTAGGTGCTGTTCACGGAGTTGTCGAATGCTTGTTTAGAAGGTATGTTGAGAGTGGAATGGATGAAGAATTGGCTTACAAAAATACTGTGGAGTGCATAACAGGAATTGTTTCGAAGACCATTTCAACGAAGGTGATTTCTGTTGCTTGCTCTGTGCTCTCCTTTCTTTGGAGCTCTTACTTATAAATCACTATTGTGGCCTGCTTCTGTGTTTGTTTCCATAGGGCATGCTAGCTGTATACAACTCGTTGTCTGAGGGTGACAAAAAGCGTTTTGAGGAAGCTTACAGTGCTTCATATTATCCCTGCATGGAAATCCTATACGAGTGTTATGAGGATGTTGCAAGTGGAAGTGAGATTCGCAGTGTAGTTTTGGCTGGGCGTCGGTTTTATGTATGTTTGTAACCCTATATCCTCGCTCGTCTCTGTTTTTGATATATCCCCATTTCATGAATCTTAGTCCTTAATGTTGGTTTAGCAAAGAAAACTCTTGCTTTGATGGGTGATTAAGGATTTTATTTTACAGGAAAAGGAGGGTCTGCCTGCCTTCCCAATGGGTAAAATTGACCAGACATGGATGTGGAAAGTCGGTGAGCGTGTCCAAGCAACTAGATCGAAAGATGATTTAGGTCCATTGTGCCCTTTCACATCTGGGGTTTTTGTGGCCCTTATGATGGCCCAGGTATTCATTTCTATTTTAAAATTTGGACTGATAATTCAATTGTGGTGTTGGCCTTTGTGATGAAGTGTGATAATTTGATTCTGGTGTTGGACTGAAAATCCAGATTGAGATCTTGAGAAAGAAGGGACACTCGTACTCGGAAATCATCAATGAAAGTGTGATTGAAGCTGTTGATTCCTTGAATCCCTTCATGCATGCTCGAGGGGTCTCCTTCATGGTTGATAATTGTTCAACAACTGCACGTCTGGGATCAAGGAAATGGGCTCCGCGTTTCGATTACATCCTAACCCAGCAAGCATTTGTAGCAGTGGATGCAGGGGCACCCATCAACCAGGACCTGATAAGCAGCTTCTTCTCTGATCCTGTTCATGAAGCTATTGAAGTCTGCGCACAGTTGAGGCCAACTCTCGACATATCAGTGCCCCCAGATGCAGATTTTGTTCGTCCTGAATTGCGCCAATCTAATTAGATTGGAAAGAGTAGGGTTTTTTTTTTTGACGAGCAGGCTGCTGTTTTCTAGTAAAACCTTATCGAGTTTTGTTTGCGAGAACAGGGAACCATCTTAGCTTGATGTTTTATCTAAAAATATTCTCTGAAGGTGAACTTCAAAATTGGGTGCTTACCTGCGGTTAGTTAGTAGAGCATGGCCTAGCACTTTCAGTATTTTGATAATTTGATGAATTTGGTGGTTCAGTATTTTGATAATTTGATGGATAATAGTCTCTTGATCGGTTTTGGGTTTACTCGGGTTCAGTTTAACTTGAAATATGGTCATCATTGCTCGGGTTCAAGTTTTTTTCAGGGGCCCAACGAGTAGATGACATTTTATCTATTCACTGGTTGGGTTCGAGTTTATTATAGTTTAACTCAACCTGAAATATGAGTAACATTCATGGGTCGGGTCAAAGTTTTCAAATTTAACTTAACCTAAAATATGAATAATAGTTTACCTATTCATTAATCGGATTTGAATTTCTTCAGATTGAGCTCAAACCTAAGATATGGGCAACATTTTATTACTAAACTCGAATCTTATTATTGTTTGTTTAGGCCCATATTATATGGCCTACAAAAAGGAACCGAAGGGTTAACTATTGCTTTGGAAAAATATTTATTATAGAGTTATGATCTTTGTTCATTTTAGATATTTAATGTTTTTACATCCAAAAAAAAAATTCACCTTAAAAATCGCAGGCATTACTGTAGATATTTCTCTTCATTCTTTAAAACTTTGATTTCACTTAATATTTGAAGAAAATTGTATTACTTCTTAAATTTTTATATTTGTAGACATTGAATTCTGTGCGGACTTTTCTATTTGAGTTTAGATTATTGGATTTTTCAAATTAAATTAATTTTGAGCCTATGTTTACGTTTGATCTTCAATTCGGCTTGGTCTACAGTCTAATACACACACATTTATATTATTAAAAATATTAAATATTATTTTATTTTTTCTTCATAAAATAGAAAAAAATAACATTCGCAGTCAACGGTTAGTTATAGGAGAAAAACAAACTTAAAATGATCATCACCACCTTCATCCTTATTCGAATTTCATTATTATATTATCCTCACAAATAAACATAGATTTAAATTGCGGTTACAGTCACATTTTCAGTTACATCGTGTTTGTCACTATTACGAACATAACAAACATTATTACGGTGATTGTGAATATTACAGTTATACAATAACAATACCGGATGACAAAGTTATCACTATATAACATGCACTATTATAATAGCAGGCCGCTATTTAAATTCTTGTTCACAAATTAAAGTGATAGAGCCATTTTCTAAACTTCTTCTCAACCAACACAACCATTCACCATCTTCACTGTGAATCTCACTATCAACCCTCACGGACTCAAAAATGCCAACTGAATCACCCGCACACGGACATTAAATCAAATCTCGTAACAACAACAAACAATAAAAAAAAGAAGAAAATACATAAAAGAGAAAAAACTATATACCTATAATCCTCCTGCTCGGTCAATGTGAATGATGGAAGATGAAACGAGCCATTCATCACTAACAAGAATTCAAGAGAGAAAGGAAATTAGAGTCTCATTTGCGAAAAAAGAATTTGAAAGAAAGAATAGTAGAAAACAAAGAAAAGGATTTTAAAAAAATTTAGAAAAATTATCAACCAATTGAAACTCCTCCTTGCGAATCCGGATGGTCAAAGGCTTCATCACACATAAAGAAACCACATATATCACTCGGAGCAATAATCAAAACCATGGAGGTGCCAGATCTGAAAAGATATCCAAAACATTTTGTTCTCTAGACCTAGGGTTTTCGAGGTAGTTTTAAAAGAAGCGAAATATGAGTTTAGATTTAGTTTTTTCCTCTCTAGATCTAGGTTGTTGGTGTCAATGTATGACAAGCAACGTGTTTTAGGTTCATCTAAGCGGTGGTCAGATACCCAAAAAAAAAAAAAAAAAAGAGAGAAAATAAGAAGGATTTTTTTTTGAGATAGAAGAAGAAAATAAAAAAAGAACAAAAAATTGTTGACTTTTATAGTTTGAAAGTAGGTTGAGCTCAACTCGTCTAGGGTCTGCATATGGTGAGATTCTTCTCCTTCTTTGATTCATTCTTTATTTATTTTCATTTGGATGTCATGAATCATTTCAATCTTTTGAAAAAACTTGGCTATTTCTTCTTATTAATCCTCCTCTTCACTTAAATCACTTTCTTTGCTTGCTGAGGATTTTAGGGATACAACAACTTCATTCTTCTTCTTCTTTCTTTTTAAGTCTCATTTCATGAGTGAGCAAGGAACCAATAAGCTCATCAAGAATTAGTCTCTCTAAATTCTTAGCTTCTTCGATAACAGTTCTTTTTTACTTGTTAATTTTTTGACAAGTAATAGAATATCTTTCTCACTATCTCTTCGTTGGGATAAATTTCTCACTATCTCATCAAGAGTTGAGCCTCCAAATTATTGACTTTTTCGATGACAGTTCTTTTTACTTGTCAAGTCTTTGGCAAGTAATAAGAAACCTTTCTCACTCTCTCTTCATTGCGATAAGTTTTTTCCAAATGTCTTAAGCTTATTGATGATAATGGTGAATCAATCAAGACATCTTTACGTCTTCATCATGCTTCATCTTAAAGATTTCATAATTAAAAGCGAGAATGTCTACTTTAGGCTTATCTACTTGATTGATACTTTTTTGAGTGATCTCCAACTTATTTGAAATCTCTTTGATATTTGAATAAGATGAAATTCTACTATAATCATCGGGTCTAAGTGCACAAAAGATGATTTACATGGCCTTAACATTTAATTGTATTTATCTTCTATCTTCATCATTCCATTCGTTTTAGCTTTTAGGCATAAGTAGCTCTTTTATTTTAGGGATAAATGGACCATTCATAACAATATCTCATGTAGAGGTGTGCATTTTCATATATCGAATATCATCCGATCTAAAATTTCAGATATAAAAAAAATTTAATTCATTAAAATTATGAGTGTTTAGTCTAGGAAAACATGATTTTAATGCGCAACAAACGATTGTAAATTAAATTGAAAAAGTCTAAGTTAGTTGGAAAATATTTAAAACACATTTGATTAAATTCAAAATAATTTTTACTAATATTTTATATCAAAATATAAGTTTCTCATATTTACATTTGCTTAACGAAGTCCCGTATATACACGGCTTGATAAATAGAATTATTGTTAAAATAACTTTCGGTATTTGTAAATTTTATTGTTCAATTAAAGATATATTTTAAAACAAATTAAGGTTAAATTAATAAAAAAAAACTATAAACATAAAAGATAAAAAATATTTTATCTGCTTTATAGTCATCAGATCAATAATTAAATGTAAATTAGATAAGAGTCGAGTTATTTAATAGATTCCAGCTCCATCATTACATCCAAGTGTTTTGAACCATACGATGGTTGAGTGGTAACGGGGGAGCTGGATCTGTTTTGTTTTATTGTTGCTTTACATGTGGTACACATATATCACCAAATTCAATTCCATCCACGAATTCTCAAGCACCTTCTTAGTGTCCATTCATTGCAACTGTTTTCATCCATGAACCTGGCACCAATCCTCTCCAACTTTCCTTTTCCAACCAAATTTGTTTCACAAAACTTAACCCTTTCTCATGGAATTATATATTGTTCTTATTCTTTCTGGATTTATGTTGGTTGAGATTGTGATAGTTTCTTGTATGTTGGTCTCCTCCTTCGGGCAGGAGGGTTCTTGATCTACCTATGGATATGAATTCGACTATGTTCTTCGAATCTTAATTTGGTGAAGCATTCAATAATAAATTGTAATATATTTAAATGACTTAACCAAACATGTGGTATAATAACAAAATGTGAATAATGGAAAATATTTCGTATGATTTAGACATTAAGTGACCTCAGTAATGAAAAGAAATGTTGATATTCTTAGAGGTTTAAATTTCAAGTTGCATCGTCTATAACTGTAAGATTTACGTGCGTTGTCGACAAGTTAAAAAAATCTAAACAGATACTTTTCATCTTTAAAACGATGAAATAAATCATCATTTTTTGTTACTTATAAATATGACTTCAATTATAATTATAATACAATATCTAAATAATTATAGTTAAAATTTATTATTATTATTATTATTATTATTATTATAAATCATGGAACTAATACTTATAATATATTTAAGTCTGCGATCCAAATACAATAAAATTTATTTACCCAAACTTCATCAATAACGTTGCACATGAATCAAAAGGAAAGGGAAAATATATTTTCATTTAATTAATAAATTTAATTTAAACATTAAACAAATTTATTATAAATATATTTTTATCTCAATTTTCTCTTTTTGTAACGTTAAAATTTAAAAGTGTTTTCTATGAAATATTTATTTAACCGATAAGATTATAAATTTTCCAAGGCTTTTTGCCAAGAAGTCTTAACGTTTACATTAGATTACATAAATCCCTTTTTGTATTTGCCACTTTCTGATTCCATCCAATTTATAGCACGTGCATGATCAAAGATTTACGAAGAGCATGATAATGATGATGATTCGGCATCCATATCCATTGATCAACTTTGCCGGTGATCTCATATTGTTAGGATAAACTACACATTTAATACCTAAATTATTATTTATTTGCTATTTATACTTAAATTTTATTTTTTTTCAAAATTATATTTAACGTTTAGTTTATGTTTCAATTTGATACCTTACCATTAAAAAATTAACAGAATAATTGACTTACATTTTTTTATTTTTTAAATGATAACATAGTATTATATTATAGTGACACGTCAACATCACCGTTAAATTTTTTAACGACATTCTCTAAGAAGAACAATATTTTTTTATCCCTTAGACCATTCAATAGGTTTTTGAATGTGAATTTTTTTGTGTAATTATTTCTAATGTAAAAAATTTATAAAAATATTATACTAGTTTGAATTTTGTGTAAAGGAAAATATTTTTAGACATTTATACGCCTCATATTAATTGATAATATTTGAAGACTAATTATTCAAAGATCAGCCTGTATTTACATTGATCTTTAGTTCATACAAATTTTTAATCTTTGTTGAAACTTTTGCAATCAAATTAAAAAGAAAAGATAAATATATAAGAAGAACTACTACTGAATATCAATATGGTTGACCACCTGAGCAGCTTATTCTCCTCCGCTTCATCGGATAAACTTGCTGGAAACCACCGTCC